ATTTTAGGGAATTTTTCTTCATATGTTTTCTGAAATGTGAATAACATGGAAGCGAAGTGCTCTTTCTTTTCTCCTTTAGGTCATTTTTCTGGATTTTTTCGGTAATTTTATAGGTCATTTTTTGAATACTTTCAGGTCATCAAAATCCAGGCCCTGCATATTACATTTTTGGTTCATATTTTAGGTAATTATATAGGTCATTTTTTAAATATTTTCAGGTAATCAAAATCCAGGCCCTGGTTATTAAAAAATACACTAAAGTGTAGTACTTCCCCCTTTTGATATCAGATATTGATGCAGCACATACAAATTCAGAGAGATGCAGTTTGGGCAGAAGAGAGAAAGCTAGAAGCAGACTTTGATGACAGGTTGTTTTGTGCTTGCATTGCCAACCATTATATTCCCTTGGATCTGGTAGTTGCCTTTACCACTTAGTTAGTTATTGGAGAGGGTGGGTTTCCCCATGCACTGAGACCTGTATTGGTCCATTGTGCTTCCCTCTATGATTTCTACCAGTCTATATATCCTACCGGTACTGGTGCTTACCATCAGTCCCGCCCAGCCAGCGAGACCGGCTCTACTAGCTGAGAGGTATCTATAATGCTTCCCCCATCTACCGGAGGTATTAGAGACTGCTGTTGGCCGGGAAACATCCGTTAATTTGGCTCAGTGACCTCCTTTGGAGATATGAGGTTCTTTTACGTGCCGTAAAGCTACGACACGGGACCCACGGCTTAAAGTCCCTCCTGGAGGACTTGTTCCCTGAATTGCCTTTACCACTTAGTTGACATCTCTTTGCCAGCAGTGGTAGTGCTGGTTGTGAGTCTTCTGATTCTGGCTGATAAAGGTTATTCAAATATATGCTGACCAGGCCAGGCTAAGGTAATGCTGTTCACTTGTATTCCGGAGGTGCTCGGTTTGAATTTTGTCCAGCTCACTGTCTATCCTTGTGTTTTACCTCATTCCCTCTAGGCAAATTGTAGTCTAGTACCTTGATTAGACCACAGCAACTTACTTGCAAATATTTCTTAGTTTACCAGTCATGCTGCCATCCAAAGCTGTGTAGCCTAGATACTGATAACACTGATTAAATTTGCTTGGGCTGTCAATCGTGTCAGATGGTTAAATGTTTCAGCAACACTGTCCTGGAAACCTGATGATGAGGACAGAGGTGGCCACCGAAACGTAGGTAACTTTAAATAGCTGACACGACTGTTAGCCCTAGAAGATTTTATCAACTTTAGCCACTGTGAAGACTTCAGACCTTGCTAAGAACATTGTTAAATATACCTCAAAGAAGAATCATATCTTACTTACATTTAGATGCAGCATCCTAAGTAAGTTTGTCCTTGGAAATCATGTGATACTTGAAGCAGGTGTTGTTAGAATATTCTCATGTTGGCTCCATGGGTATTTTCCATCATCATCATCATCATCATCATCATCATCATCGTTTGCGGTATTAGTCCCATTGAAGCTTGTTACTGATATTGTCATGTGTAGGGGTGTGAGTATAGAAGGGGTTTGAATTGAATATTGGGTTTATTTGCCACTTTATACACTACACAGAACTACAATTAATTATAGCGCTATCATTGATCTACACATTTTACAGTTCACCATTACACACACACACACACACACACACACACACACACTAGTGTCCTCAGTCTTCATTAGTCATATCCTGGCAATGGGTTTATAACAGTTTCATTGTCACTGCAACACAAATATAGTCCTGTTTTCACAGCCTAATTCCTTTCTTGTCATTTCTTCTCAATCATCTTTGACTGCCGTCTTCAGAGACTCAAGTCAGAGCCAAAGTCACGTTGCGACTGACGGTTGGTCAGTCAGTAAATCTTGGTATCGAGTCCCATCTGGGGGTCATGACTAGATTTTTATTACCGTTTGGCAGTTATGGGCTTGTTTTTGTGAGGCGCCCTCTCTGACGAGAGGACAGGTCTCTCTTGTATATGCTGCTGGTCCTTGCCATTGAAATCTTTCTCGGGTCCGAGTCCCTTGGGATTTGTGATCATATTTTGCTGTCTCAGATTTGAGACTTCCTTTTCGACGCCTCCTACGACTCGCAGGGTGACAGTGGAGGTATTCAACCCCGCCTCCACACGGCCACTCCGCAGAAGCTCTAAACCTCGCCTCACTTATATAGCCTCTTGGCATAGATGATATTGAAAACACAATTCATCTATTGTTGTGTGTCTAGTCATTGCCGCAGATATGTGTTTATCGCGTCGTCTCGTAGAAACGGCCGTGGCTCAGACCATAGAAAACGCCGCTTTCAATAGTTCCTATGCTATTGAATGTTGATTCGTTGCCGTGGGAACACCACACACACACACACACACACACCAGGCTTCTCTTCTGTAAGCTTGTTTATTCAACACATGACATACAATCGAATTTATCACCCTTCAAAGCCCAGTGGCCACTATATAAGCCACCTGCTTAAAAAAACTGATTTTTAGTCCTCAAGCAAACTATACCGACCGAGCGACCGCCGTTTGTCGGCGAAGCTTAGTGCCAACTTTTGCGGATAGAGGGTGTCGCGTGGTCAGCGCAAGGAATCACGGGGTTATCGGGGTTACTCCCTTAGTTCTCGTTATATAGCTTTGGGGTGGACCCACAGAAAACACCGTTTCCATTATCCCAGCAGTACTTCAGTTGTTGCTTGCTTATTCGTTGCAGCGGGAACGTGTTTACCAAGATGATGCCTAGCACTAAACGTCTACTCTGACTTCATTATTCCGGCTTTCGGGCGTCATGTCAGTATATTACAAAACAACCCATCCGTTATTTCAGAGGCCCTTCAAAGTGTATATTCCTACATTCTTTTTTGGAATTCTGTGAGAACTCGTACTTTCAGTCTTCATTCCCCCTGTTTACAATATTATATTTAAGCATCCTGTTGCACTCTATATGATATAAACTCAGTCCTAAGTGCAACAATTTATTGTAGGTCTTTTGTCTTGCTTTCTTTTACACTACATGTTTCGGCCGCAAACGGCCATCATCAGGTGTATACACTTATGTAGCTGTTACGCTGCACTTAGTTTAAAATTTAGTTTAGTTTAAAACACCGGTCTTCCCAGTTGTTCCCTTGGGAAGACCGGCGTTTTAAATTTGCGGCCGAAACATGCAGTGTAAAAGAAAGCAAGACGAAAGACCTACAATAAATTGTTGCACTCAGGACGGAGTTTGTATCATATATTCATCCCCCCTCCCATGAGGTCATGTTTGCTGCTTATTTTCGATGGCCGCCTCTTCGACGCTAAATGTGTAGGCAGTACATTCTGCTGAATTTTCGATACACTTGTACCAGACTATGCGGCGTCACATCCCAGAAGCTAGTACTCTTCATGGATGTGAGACGCTCTGAAAGTTAGAGTGGAATCACGGTGCCTGGTGGGGGAAGAGTCACAAGAAATTGTAAAGTGCCCCCTGACACGCGATAGAGTTGGTATATGGGTACTGTAAGGTCAGGTGAAGCCAGTGGGAGCGAGAAGACGCTGGACGTCGTGAGAACATTACTCCTTGATGGCTCTGGTTTGTACAACCTCTCATACTGGGAGTAATGGACTAGTACCTCGTTCTCTTGCAAGAGTTCACATTATTACGTTCTCAACATATGCTCAAGCTCAGAAACTGTTGGACATCACATATGTGATGTCAGTTAGCAATGTAAATGTTACTCTGCAAACATTACCAGCAGTAACTCCTTATATTATTTCATCGTATATATTTCCATCGACTGCCTCTGTGGTCTAGTGGTCAAGAGTTCCTGGCTACAGATCCAGAGGTCCCGGGCTCGATTCCCGGCGCTACCAGATTTTCTGAGAAGTGGGTCTGGTACGTGGTCCACTCAGCCTCATGAGGATAATTGAGGAGGTATTTCAAGGAAATAGCGGTGCTGGTGCAGAAAACCGAGATTAACGGCCATGGGGATTCGTTGCGCTGACCACGCGGCACTCTCTGTCCGCAAAAGTTGGCACTAACTTCGCCGACAAGAGGCGGTCGCTTGGTCGGTATATTTCGCTTGCGCACTACAGACCACAGAGTATGTATATATGTATATTCATTCATCAGTAATCTGTCAGACGACAGGTCCCCAGTCTTTTCCAAAACAGTTCCTCTACTTAATGCTTTCTCCTTCAAATAAAAATATCCTCTTCTGTCCCCAAAGTCATCCGGCATCTATATATGTATATATATACGCTGTACCGATTATGACCGCCATGTGTGCTGAGCAGCGCGTCCAGGAATAGTCACTTGAAGGCAAATCCCACATGCTCTGGTATGCTGAAACCGGTTTGCTTACAAAAAATAATATTTGTACCTGAGGCACTGTGATCCTCACGAATGATACATAGCGTAGTGGAATGTGCGTGCCGGGTTTCATCCCTCCCCATCCCACGCACCGCGAAGAAGAGGTGTAGGTTGCTGCTCAAGCTATAAATAATTTAATTTCCTTTTTCGCCTTCATCGTCTTCTTTTTTTTTGGGGGGGGGGCTTATCCCTGCATTGGTTTGCAGTCTGTTCTCCCAGCATCTCCTTCCAAGCTTCAGTAATGGACTTATTGGGTATTTTCCGTTCATGTATGTTGTCACGATATAAGCGTGACTGTAGACAGAGATTTGGGATAATTGGATTTATTGACCACTTACAGGTCATGACTACAAATAACTATAATGCTATAGCCGATTTGCACACTACAAATCACCACACGCTAAGTCTTCTTAGTCTGCTTTTAATAGTCGTTTCCTGGTAACGAATC